TATTTGACAATAGCTCACAACCAGTGCATATATATACCGCCCAAGACCGCCGTGAAATATCTTACCATGTGTTATTTGACAATAGCTGACAACCATTGCATATATCATGTACCGCCCAAGACCGCAGTGAAATATCTTACCATGTGTCCTTTGACAACAGCTCACAACCATTGCATATATCATGTACCGCCCAAGACCGCCGTGAAATATCTTACGAGTTATTTGACAATAGCTCACAACCAGTTCATACATACCGATTTGTATACTCATATATAATCATTCTAACAATACTGTTGCATGGGTCAGTTTCGGTTTTATGCTGTTTTGCCGCAGGGCAACAATGAAGAAACTCTGGGTACGCTCGTAAAATCTCAGCCATGGACCAAACGAGATGTTATTGCAAATTGATTTAAAGGGTGAGTGAGTGAGTTTAGTTCTACGCCGCACTCAGCAATATTCCAGCTATATGGCGGCGGTCTGTTAATAATCGAGTCTAGACCAGACAATCCAGTGATCAACAGCATGAGCATCGTACTTCGCATTTGGGAACCCATGACATGTGTCAACCAAGTCAGCGAGCCTGACCACCCGCTCCCGTTAGTCGCCTCTCACGACAAGCATAGTCGCCTTTTGTTGCAAGCATTGGTTGCGGAAGACCTATTCTACGCCGGATCTTCACGGGTGATTTAAAGGCTTAGTACATAAACTTACAAATGGTCAAATGGAATTTTAAGATAACATGGTAATCGTATCATGACACCTAGCATATGAGCCGTGGAGCTAGTGGTAAACATCTAGTGACTCATGTTTAACACCCTAACATCAAACTACCCGTGAAGATCCGGGTTAGAATTCATCTTCATAACCCATGCTTGTCGTAAGAAGCGAATAACGGGATCGTGTGGTCAGTCTCGCTGACTTGGTTGACACATATCGTATCCCAATAGCGTAGATCGATGCTTCTGCTGTTGATCACTGGATCGTCTGGTTCAGACTCAATTATTTACAGACCGCCGCCGTATAGCCTGAGGAATATTCATGCTGTTGATCAGTGTCTGGTTCAGACCTATACAGACCGCCGCCTAAGGCAGCTGTCTCTAAATTGCGTAGATCGATGCTCATGCTGTTGATCACTGGATCGTCTGCCCCAGACTCGATTATTTTACAGACCGCCGCCATATTATTAGGCAGCTGTCTCTAAATATTCGAGTCTGAACCAGATGAATTCAGTGATCAACTAACTTTGAAGCATGGGTTGGAAGGACCAGTTCTAAGCCGGATCTTCACGAGAATATCTATACTACCCATCAAAAAAGTTTAGACTCACTTGAAGCACTCACTATATGCTATGCTATATGTGGTTACATCGAAGATGAATTTCTCAAAACGGCGGGGGAACCAACTGCAAACTTTATGCAGATGAATTGCACGAGGATCATGCATGAAATTGCTAAAAGCATATGCAAATATCGTGCATGTGAACAGCTGTGTTGTGGTGTAAAGTTTTTGTTAAACAATTTCACTCAGTTTCATCATTTAAAAAAATCTTTTCAACGTTACGAATTTGTTTTACAATACATCAGATTTGCAAAATCTAGTTAAGAAGAGTTGACTTAAGTAAGAGGCTACATTTACACTAGTGAGTCTAAACTTTTGATGGGGAGTATACAAGTAATTTGCTCTAGATTGACAACATCGTATGTTTGTCATTTAAAGTATCATTTACTAGTGCCATTTCACTGGCATCACGAGCATATTACAAATACACGTCAATCTTCCACTGTATAAAAAGCATACATATATTCTTGGATACAATTCACGATGTCTTGTGAGTGAGTGAGTGAAATGAGTATAACTTTATACATCCACACTACGGCAGCGGACAACCTGAATGGATTTATGTTAACCATGCTGGGAGTCGAACCCGTGTTTCCGGCATGGCGAGCGAACAATTTAACCTGTGGGCTGCCCCAACCACCACCAACGTATTACAGGTATGCTTGGATATTTCATATTACATGTGACCGCCTCCGTGGTGAAGTGGTTAGAGCGTCCGCCCGGAGAGCGGAAGGTCGCGGGTTCGATCCCGTGTCATACCAAAAAGACGTTAAAATATGGTACTTGTTGGTCCCTGCCTGGCGCTCGGCATTAATGGGTACAACAAGGACTGGTCGGCTCGGAGTCAGTATAATGTGTCTGAGTGGGGTATTCATGCTTCACTGCGGCATGGTATCTCAGTGGGGTAGCACTTAAGTCTGGGCTAGTGCAAGCAGCCGCACATACACATACACACGCATGCACGTCGTCATATGAGCGAAATATTCTCAAGAACGACGTAAAACCAAATTTCACCTCACCTCATATTACATGTACAAAGTATGTTCACTGAAGTTGGTGTGGAATGGAATCCTCGAATATCATATCCCAAAGTGAGTGAGCATTGTTTTTTTCAATATTCAGGGGAAGGACAATAGACATGGGCAGCATATATAGCGCCCATGTTGGGAATGGAACCCGAATTTTCGGTGTTACCGGCGAACACTTTAACTACTGCGCCACTTTCCATTTTTCACAAATTGCTTCCTTAGTAAAAAGGTGTACTCCAAAGATCAGGAATGAGATTTTCATTATGCTTGTCATAAATAAGTGAGTGAGCTTAGTTTTACGCCGCCTTTAGCAATATTCCAGCAGTATCACGGCGGAAACACCAGAAATGGGCTTCACACATGGTACAGATGTTGGGAATCGAAAATGTGTTTTTGGTGTGACGAGCGAACGCTTTAACCACTAGGCTACCGCGGCACCCTTTACTTAAATGAACTGGTAAAATTGCTAAATTCAAACTAATCGTTGTTTTTTTAAAACAATTCACATGGTATTAAATACTATGGAAGTAAAGTTACAAATAGGATATTGATTGAACGGCTTTAATGAACTTGGGAATTCACAGATAACAATTGTTATGCAGTAGAATCATGGTTTTGATTTTGAATAGAAAGGAAATACGATTCTGATAAGCCCATACCTAGAAAACATCATTCATATGTTTATGCACCATCTGGGCGTGAAACAATATCCTCATTATCAGCGATAGTCTGAACAATATAGCTTATTTCTGTAAGAATAAGCGTTACGCAGTACCAAGATTGATAAGGGCCTCAGACTGGGTATGTGTAACTATCTCAGAAGTCATGACTCACGCATGAAGAAGTCCACAATTCACAACAGCTGGTCGAGTTGAATAGTGTTACGTGAGGTTAGCAGGATTGGGTTTTTTTTAGCTATTTTCCAGCAATATCAGAGTGAGGGACACCGGAAATTGGCTTCACACATTGTGCCCTTGGGGGATTCGAACCCGGGTTTTCGGCTCGATGAGCGAACGCTCTAATCAGCAGGCCACCCACCGCCCTCAGTATGAAGTCATCGACCCTTTTGTCATATACCTACACCCTCACGGAGACTTTTTGTTCGCTATGAATCTTTATGGCTGGGTGTAAATAGGGAATAGAAAATTTACCACAACTGACCACCTGTATCACTGAAGATTCTGTAAAACGTCTTGGTCAAATTCCCTCGTTTTGATATTTGCCAGTCAATGCAGAAATTACGCTGAGCTATTAAGTATCAATTGCAAAATCTGCAAGAAGGGGAGTACATTTTGGGCCCTTTGGGATGTTAACTTATTGCCAAAATGTCCTACCCTAATATACGCGTATGCTGCATGATGCTTTCTCCGAGAAAGTCAAATGTTTCACAAATATTTTCCTTAGTAAGTACATCCACCCCATGGGGCGGTGAGGTAGCCTAGTGGTTAAAGCATCTGCTCGTCACGCCGAAGACCCGAGTTCGATTCCCCACATAGGTACAATGTGTGAATCCCATTCATTTTGGTGGAATATTTCTAAAAGCGGCGTTAAACCATACTCACTCACTCACTCCACATGTACCCCATGCCAAATATTACGATTTTCATTAATTTTGTCATAATTGAAAGTCATACTAATCCTTGGGTTTTTTTTAATCCTCACGGTATTAAATATGCTTGTAACAAATACACGATTTGAATATTAAGAATTCCTTTCCGAGACTGTATTAAGGATCATGGTTAATGTTTGGCAGCATGGACTTAGGTGGTAAATATATAGATATATCTTTGTAGGGATTTTAAGGACTTTTGGGATCTAGTACACAACAATGGAAAAACAAAGGTCAAGGGCAAAAACATGTAACGGCGGGTAATTAAGGGACTACTTCCCGTGCCAACGGACAAGGGAACAGGTCCTTTACAATGGTCAAGGGAATAGGTCGTTAACAACGGTCAAGGGAATAGGTCCTTAACAACTGACAATTGAATAGGTCCTTAACAATGGTCAAGATAATAGGTCCTCAACAACGGTCAAGGCAATATGCCCGTACCAACGGACAATTGAATACGCCCGTACTTAACTGACAAGGGAAAATGTCCTTAACAAAGGTCAAGGGAATACGCCCGTACCCAACTGACAAGGGAAAATGTCCTTAACAACCGTCAAGGTTTGCACGGTAGCATTGTTTTAAAACAAGTTTTAAGTTTATATTCCGCTTGGGTAAGTCTCTCTGTGTGTGTTGTTTTTTAATTGATGTTTAACGCCGCACTCAGCAATATTCCAGCGGTGTGTAAATTATCAAGTCTGGAGCAGACAATCCAGTGATCAACAGCGTGAGCATCGATCTTCACAATTGGTGTACGTTTACCAATTGATACGATGACATGTGCCAACCAAGTCAACGAGCTTGATCACCCGATCCCGTTAGTCGCCTCTTACGAAGAGCATGGGTTGCTGAAGATCAATTCTAACTTGGATCTTCACGAGGAAGTTTGTTGTGCTTAGCTAGGGAACGTAGTGACCTAGTCTTTGTTGAGGTAAGCGGTATTGGTATTACCCTCGTTTGAGCAGTATGTTCTGTTATATAACGGTTCCCTAAATCAGGGAGAATAGAACACGAAGATTATCCCTGCCTAAAGGTAAACACTAAGAGACGAACGTTAAACGCATTTGCCATTTGCCACGAACGTTAAACGCATTTGCCATTTGAACGAGGCCACAAGTTCCGGCACAATCATGGTAAACCAATGATAATAACCGGAATATCCTGGGATTCGAACCTTCGACTATCGAATCCTTACATATCGAAGGGACGCAACTCTGCACGGCGATTGCTTCGCCTTAGGCCGTTTGGCTGCATGTGAGTGAGTGAGTTAAGTTTTATGCCGCTTTTAGCAATATTCCAGCAATATCACGGCGGGGGACACCAGAAATGGGCTTCACACGTTGTACCCATGTGGGGAATCGAACCCGGGTCTTTGGCGTGACGAGCGAACGCTTTAACCACAAGGCTACCCCACCGCCCCTTTTGGCTGCATGTACCCCTTGTTCGAACATACGTATGATGGAGAGAGTGCATGACAGCAATTTCACTGTATAACCATGATAGACGTATATGTATATCATAAAGTGCGTAATCAAAGCGAGAGATTTATAATACAATTATTGATTTCAACGTAAACTTGCAATTACGTTGAACACTTGCTTCATTCGTTTTCTGGCTTCCGTCGTAGGAGGTCCAACAGCTGGGTTAGCAGGCACAGTGCAGTAGGCAATTCAGGGCGTCTATGTGAGTAGTCAGCTTAACTTCAACACATTCGGCAATGTAGACAGGCAGGCAGTTAACATGTGTAAGTGAGTGAGTTTGGCTTTTCGCCGCTTTTAGCAATATTCCAGCAATATCGCGGCGGGGGACACTAGAAAATGGGCTTCACACATTGTACCCATGTGAGGAATCGAACCATCGCCTTCGGCGTGACGAGCCAACGCTTTAACCACTATGCTACCCCAACGCCCCTCATTTGTAAGTGAGTGAGTTTGGCTTTTCGCCGCTTTTAGCAATATTCCAGCAATATCGCGGCGGGGGACACTAGAAAAATGGGCTTCACACATTGTACCCATGTGGGGAATCGAACCATCGCCTTCGGCGTGACGAGCCAACGCTTTAACCACTAGGCTACCCCACCGCCCCGGTCATTCAAGAAATGAATGAATATTGTCTAGCGCCGCATCAGCAATTTCCAGCTATTCTCGGCGAGAATCAGTGGCTATGAATTTCAGCATGTATACATAATAGATGTTCCTATAAAGTATGAGTCATATGATATATCATGGACAAATCAAAGACTGACTATTTTGCTGAAAGGTTTATCTTGTCATAAAGATCAAATTTCAAAAATGAAAAATCCTTTAGCCATGAAATTGAGTAAACATTGAGAAATTGTCATGAAGTAGAAACATTGAAATATGTTTGACGTATCAATGCAGAATCCACACAGTCTAAAAGCATGTGTTTTATGATATACTGGTACATATGGTATGGTATACGGTTTCCAAATTTTGCTAGCTAGTCAGGCTAGCTATGCCTGAAAGTTACTAGCCGACAAATAATTCACTAGCTCGAAATGTAAATGTCGACAAGGGTTTCTTCTTTAAACTGCTAATATATGATGAACATTTTATCAGGCCATAATTTTGCATGATTTAAAAGTGTATTATAACTTAACAAGTCGGAGAGAGTGATATATTTACGAAATGACCAAGGGATAATTAACTAACCAGTCGAGCCAGTGACCGTGAAGATTTACTGCCCCGATTGCAGTTTTAGTATCCACGGGCTAGCAGGCCAGTGGCTTTCGCACACTGATCTTAACGGACACATTTGTGCGTGTCAATAACAGTTTATCCTTGAATTAGAAACATTAAACCACAGTAATTTTGGGAACAAATTTAGGTTTTGCCTAATGAACTGGAAACTGACGGGACCAGTGAATACAGAAACCGACGTCATATTAGGATGAATCATAGCCGATTTACCCACATGAACTGGAAACTGACGGGACCAGTGAATACAGAAATCGACGTCATATTAGGATGAATCATAGCCGATTTACCCACATGAACTGGAAACTGACGGGACCAGTGAATACAGAAACCGACGTCATATTAGGATGAATCATAGCCGATTTACCCACATGAACTGGAAACTGACGGGACCAGTGAATACAGAAACCGACGTCATATTAGGATGAATCATAGCCGATTTACCCACATGAACTGGAAACTGACGGGACCAGTGAATACAGAAACCGACGTCATATTAGGATGAATCATAGCCGATTTACCCACATGAACTGGAAACTGACGGGACCAGTGAATACAGAAACCGACGTCATATTAGGATAAATCATAGCCGATTTACCCACATGAACTGGAAACTGACAGAGGCCATTGCATCGCAGAAACCAGCGTCATATCAGAATGAATCATAGCCGATTTACCCACATGAACTGGAAACTGACGAGACAAGTGAATAAAGAAACCGACGTCATATGAGGATGAATCAGAATGAGTCCCTTTATATCGAGCAATATTCAAACAAATCAAGCTCTTTGTGTTCACATTCCACACCATTTGAGGTATTGTTGAAAGACGCATTCGAATCTTATTCAAAAGTTGTTTCATCAGTTTTACACAACCCAGGAAGGTTAGATTTCATGCTTTCACTGGGAACGGTTCCTTCCACAAAAGGTTGATTCACTGTATCGTCAATCGATTATCTCTCGAATATTGTGACCCGTGAAGATCCGGGGTAGAATAGGTCTTCAGCAACCAATGCTTGCAACAAAGGCGACTATGCTTGTCATAAGAGGCGACTAACAGGATCGGGTGGTCAGGCTCTCTGACTTGGTTAACACATATCATCGGTTCTCAATTGCGTCTCAATTGCGCAGACCGATGTTCATGCTGTTGATCACTGGATTGTCTGATCCAGACTCGATTATTTACAGACCGCCGCCATATAGCTGGAATATTGCTGAGTGCGGCGTAAAACTAAACTCACTCACTCGAATATTGTAATGTCCAAACATCCTACATCACCAACGCCTTATACAATGCAGAGCCGGTGGGGTAGCCTTGTGGTTAAAGAGTTCGCTCTTCACGCCGAAGAACCGGGTTCGATTCCTCACATGGGTACAATGTGTGTAGAACTTGAGTCTCCCGCCTTGAAAGTAGGCTAAAATGGCGTAAAAACCAACTTACTCAATAACTCTAATACAATAATTATATATGCTTTGATATATGTCGAATCTATGCTTTTTCTTGAATCGACTGGTCCGAAATTGATTTGTAATTCCTTTCAACCAACAGGTGACCATACGTGAGTGTTGAAACCTACGACAAAGTTTCCATTTTCGTCAAACCAGTTTCCTAGACGACGTAAACGTTGACACAAGTGTTGAGCATCTACAACAAAGCAACCTTTCCTGAACAACAGGAACGTCCTGGATGAACATTAACTCCGAAGTAATTGTTGAACATTAACTGCCAAGTCATATATTTGGCTATTGATACAAGCTATTGGTTGCTCAGATGGAGCTTAAGTGAAAGTTCAATTGTTACAGCGAAGACTGGGGTGTTTCTCCACAAGAGCGATATGGGCAAATGTTGGTATAGGCGTCTCTTGCGGGACCCCTGGTCTCTTATATTTCTCACGGGACTCCTTTTTACCGGACACGTGCTGTACCTAACCAACAACTTCGAAGTTACCGGAAGTTGGAAAAAGAATATCCGGGCATTGATGTCGGTGCCGGTGCCGGTGCCGGTGCCAGTTCCAGCAACAAAAGTATCCATGAAATGTCCTAATTTTTTGGAACAGGTCTCCATAGGTCGATGGGTAAAGCGACCACCCAATGCAACGCGGGTGCTGGAACTGGAACAGTTCTATCATTCTGTTTTACAAGACCGAGCCCCAATACCAAGCACATTGGAAAGAAGCGACGGTAAATGTAGAATTATACATACGACGCAAATCGAGCTGCCACCCACTGGCGCGCGGTCTGCAGTCCTATTGGTAAAACACCGTGTTGCTATAACAACCATTGTGTTGCACGGAGCGTTGATAAGTGCAGGTGTAGCTACTGCTGGGACCTCCGTACCCAGATCCTACCATAGCCAGGTGTAAATACCAGAAATAAATGATATTTAGCAAGGTGTAAATACCATATTTACCACAGATGAACATGAATAACAGGGTTGTATAAGGATGGATAATACTACAGAAATTAATGTCTGGTTGTATAATAGATGTATATTTGCCACAGACAGACAATATAATAAAGGATTACAATTTATGAATATTTGTATAATACCAGATGGTTCATAATTACTTTAAAGGTACAATGTCAGACATTTTGGACAATATTTTGGCATAAAACCCACCTTATTATATATATATATTTCGACTCCAAAAAACATATAGCAATTCAAGTGGTCAGGACTAATGAACAGTTCGGTTTATGCGTCAGTTCGTTATAAGCGGCTTGTGGTATGCGCATTTCGACTAAAACATATAGCAAAAATGTAGCTTGTGGTATCGTGTTTCTTTTCAGAGTGGCATATGAAGTGCACTGATCTTAGAATGTTCGGCGCAGTTGCCTGCAGGCCTGTCTTGGACCAAAGTCCTACCGTGTGTGGCGGGCGTGTCTCCATCAGGCGGGTTCCTCACGAAACTCTGGAACATACTGGCAAACTTCTTGATCTGGTCAGGAACATCACAAACGTCAAACGAACCATAATTATCAACGGTATAGCCCTTCACGTGCAAACAAATTACACCGCTGTGCAGGAATATCTCCAACCAGCCTTCGACTTCCTCAATCAGCGCGGTGCTCTATGGCCACGGTTCCTCTTCACTGGCCTGAGTGATTTCGGAGCCTTGATGAAGGCAGTCCCAAACTTATTACGGGCGCAAAGAGCAACGTTCAATAACAAGATGGCCAGCTTCGTACAGCGTCATGGTGCGTTGTATCTAGACCTGTATAATCTTACACGCGGTGTCCGAAGCTTTGACGGGAATCATTTCGCTGTTGGTTTAAATCGAGCAAAAGCATTTATCATTTCAAACTACATACAACATTTGAAAGATAAGGGAGAGTGGTGATTCTGAAAATTGATGTACATGTACTCATTACTTATCCTTACTGATAGGGGCGGTGGGGTAGCCTAGTGGTTAAAGCGTTGGCTCGTCACGCCAAAGACCCGGGTTCGATTCCCCACATGGGCACAATGTGTTAAGCCCATTTCTGGTGTCCCCCGCCGTGATATTGCTGGAATATTGCTAAAAGCGGCGTAAAACTAAACTCAGTCAGTCAGTCCTTACTGATATTTCTATTCCAAATCGACCCGTGAAGATCCGGATTAGAATTGATCTTCAGTAGCCCATGCTTGTCGTAAGAGGCTACTGACGGGATCGCGTGGTCAGGCTCCCTGACTTGGTAGACACATGTCATCGTATCCCATTTGCGTAGATCGATGCTCCTGCTGTTGATCACTGGATTGTCTCGTCCAGACTCGGTTATTTACAGACCGCTAGAATATTGCTCAGTGCGGCGTAAAACTAAACTCACTCACTCATCCAGTATCCCAATGCTGTTGTTTACTGGATTGTCTGGTCCAGACTCGATTATTTACAGACCGCCGCCGTATAGCTGGAATATTGCTGAGTGCGGCGTAAAACAAAAGTCACTCACTCTATTCTAAATAAACACTAACACAACCGTGTTGCCATGGAAACACAGCTTTTGCATTTGTCATACAGTCATACAACCGCTTAGCTTCACTTTCAATGAAAGCCTCCAATTTTGCAGATCTTTAAATGTTTACGAAGTAAATCGAACAAGTAAGAAGCCCAATTCATCTTGCGTCCGGGATTCGAACTCATGGCCTTAGGTTTAGGCATGCCAAATGCACACAACTCTACCACTCGTATACACAGTTGAAACTGATACGTTATTTCACAAATGATTTTAAAGTATTTGAGGCAAGTACAATTCACACCAAGTCAAATGATTTGCTCAGATGTCTAAAGGTGACCGTAACACCCATTCTTTAACATAGACTTAAGGTAGCCTTAGCGCTAAGGTTGTTTTGTACAACGGCACCCAGTTCTGTCAAAACATGGTAATACCCACGGTGGGTCCTTTTCCATACTTTTATTATATAACACTGCAAGAAATAGTGCATATCCATGTATTCCCTCATCTTTGAAATGGTTTGATTCTATGCCCATAGGCGACTTCACATATGGAAAATGATATTGACATGAGCAGCTACCTGTGTATTTCGACTGTTTGGAATGTGTGGTTATATCATGAAGTATTTCCATAACGGTGATGGGGCTTTGGGGTACCCTAGTAGTAAAACGTTCGCTCTTCACGCCAAAGACACGGGTTCGATTCCCCCCAGGTGTAAAATGTTTGAAGCCCATTTTTGGTGTCCCCCGCCGTGATATTGCTTGAATATTGCGAAATGCGGCGTAAAATTAAACTCACTCACTCTAAATGGTGCTTGAAGACAACGGAATAAATGCAGTTTATGTTAATGGATTTAAACATGTCTTAAATTAACATAAATGATTATGCCTCAACTATTTCAATAGGGTTTGAAAGTGATGCAAATGACTTATGCAAGTGATAATTTACACATATTCCAATCATGACGAAATGGTATCGGAAATGTTTGTAATCATACAACATATATCTTGTGTCCTGGACGTTTGAAATCTATTGGGCATAATATAATGTTATGGATAGTGTTCGTGTACAACGAAAACTGACACAGAGTCAATTTCTCATTGAGCAAGTTGACGTGGGGAGGCAGATATAGTGGTGGATTGAGGATACTGAAGCATTATTATCTTGCCACACGCATAAATGTCGTTTTCTGATTGGCTGAGCGCTCTTCTATTATTTTCAATGTACCCCGCTTACAAGTGAGTAACATTTTCTATGTACCTCGCTGGGAATGTCGAACTCGTGTGGTACTTTGTAGTAGTAATTCTTCATCTCGAGTAACATTGAATCACGTTTGATGTACGGACATTACCGATATTTTGCGAATGCAAATCGATGGAAGGGAGATAACTCTAAATTTGTTTTTCTTGTCTTGTACTCCACACTATGATACCAGTGCTTCAAACAGTTCAAAATTACCATTGAGGTATTCGATAAGATAAATACGTTGTTCGCTGGTCTCGAGGGGGACATGGGCTGATGTGCCCTCGATGTTTGTTTATGTTCCATGAGCCCGAAGCTGCATTGTTGTGAAAATGTGTATGTGTCAATATATATACTCAAGGACAGTAGCCTTGTGGTTAAAGCGTTCGCTCGTCACGCCGAAGACCCGGGTTCGATTCCCCACATGGGTACAATGATGCGGAGCCCTTTTCTGGTGTATATTGCTGGAATATTGCTCACTCACTACGACTGACTCCGAAACTCAAGGTTTGGTTGGGTAGCGGGGTTGTTTGCTTGGGTTGCGAGCGTTCGGGACCTGGGATTACAAAAGGTTTTGTCTGGACTTGATGATAGCATTTCCAGATTTCATGTACCGATTACAAACATGATGTCACATATAAGCCCCCTTGTGACTTGAACCACGTGTCCTCATGGACATTGACTGAGTTTGTTGTGTGTCCCACCGGTGGGGCAGGGTGACGGCGATCTTCCTTGCATCCGTGTCACCAGTGTCTCTGAGCGGTTCATTCCGTAGAGGGTAATGTCGGAGTGACTCTCTATTCCTTAAAAATAATGGAACCGAAGTCTCAAAGGGCCCGAGACACATAACTTTTAAGGAATGGTGAGTTACGAGGATATTACCCAACTCAAAATACATTCAAAATACTGTATGAGCCAAATGTAATGCAAAGAGTACGAACTATGAAAGGCTTGCAATTGAAACTGGTACACATCACTCCATTCCTGAAACATAATGGAGCGAGCAGACAATGGAATGGCATCACAAATGTAATTTAATGAGGGGTTGAAAGCGTGCAGTCCATCTTGCAGGTATTTATTATGGAATTATGAGGGTTTTTGTTGCATTGATACCAGCTGAACATGCTGGCGATCTAATTCTCTGCGGTTCAACTTCATGAACAACAAGAAAAGCGGCACAAACATTAGATTTTATGTCTGACGTTCACGGAATATACATATACTCGTATACTTGGATATAACTAATTCACATAGGGCTGCTGTTAGGTGTTTAAAATAAGATAGTAGTTGTGTAGGTACGTTTACGAAACGCACATCAGTCCTTGATTCGAAGCTTGAGCAGGGGATCCTGAGAAAATCTGTTTCCTGCAGATAGATAGTTTGTTGCACTTCCGATATTGTCACTGAATATATGACAAAATCACAATATAAATCATGATTGAATGATTGAGAAAATGACATTGATATTACATGATTTACAACATTAGTATTTTAAATTAGATTTGCTTGTTGATAAAATAACCAAAATTAGCCAAATGTCGCATAATTATAATATAACAAAATATAACATACGTGTACATGTTAATATATTCCACTGTAAAACGTTGACTGTAAATCACATCCATTTGGCAACCTGATATTGGGCATTGCGTGTTTCGGGACCACATGTTTTCATTCAGACATTATCTACCGATAACCGACGGGGAACAGTTAACTTGAAGTGCACTTGCCGTGGCATCTATATATATATCTAACCTAAACCAGCAATGCTGACTTCCGGGGCTTTGTTTAAACAGAATGTTCTCTTTGTTAAAACTTCATTTTAACAACATGGTCTCTTTTCTAAAGCTTCATTCAAACATAATCGTCTTTTTTTCAAACTTCACTTAAACATAATATTGTCGTCGTTTCAAACTTCATTAAAAACATAATATTCTCTTTTCTAAAAATTCATTTAAACATAATGGTCTCTTTTCTAAAACTTCATTTAAACATAATGGTCTCTTTTCCAAAACTTCATTTATACATAATGTTCTCTTTTCTAAACCTTCATTTAAACATAATGGTCCCTGTACTAGGGAAGCCTAGTGGTTAAAGTGTTCACCCGTCACGCCGAAGGCCCATGTTTGATTCCCCACATGGGCACAATGTGTTAAGCCCATTTCTGGTGTCCCCCGCCGTGATATTGCTGGAATATTGCTAAAAGCGGCGTAAAACCATACTCACTCATTCTTTTTAAAAACGTCATTCAAATATAATGTTCTCTTTTTTAAAACTTCAATCAGCCATGAATGGATCTGACTTTCAAAGGTGTGTATTGACACTAATAACATGTAGTCTTACAGAGACACATGCGAGATACTTAGATGCGAGAGTAGTTACATGGTAATGAAGATACATATCAACCCGATGTAGATTGTTATTTCATAAACGAGCGCTGTCGGTTCCGACGAGCCGCTTCGGGTCAAACGTTACGGTGAATGCGTTTCCGTCTGTGAGTTGGTAATGCAGTTTGTCCTGATGCTATTCAGGTTCATACTTCAATGAACTCACACAAAAAGGGAAGTTAATCTTTTGAATTTTCACATCACTACGTAAAAGCACGATCCTCCAAGGAGGTATTACACACATCTCCAGTGAGTGAGTGAGTTAAGTTGTACGACGCACTCAGCAATATTCCAGCTATATGACAATCCAGGGATCAACAGAATTAACATCGATCTACGCAACTGGGATACGATAACATGTGTCAACCGAGTTAGCGAGCCTGACCACCCGATCCCGTTAGTCGCCTCTTACGACAAGCATCAATTCTAACCTGGACCTTCACGGGTTCACATCTACAGCCATGTTTTTCATATATGTGACGCAGTGTTGGCAACAACAGCCATACAACAACTAACTGATATCAACGCTTTTGGTACACAAACAAAAACGTAAGTTCATAAGATATCTTAAAACAATAATCGTCTACATCGTCAAGAAATGAAAACAAACATGGCAACATTCCCACTTCCAAATCAAACACAAGTAATATATAAAAATATCATTCAAGTAACTCTTACATGCCAATCGACGGAAGCCAAATTCCTGTCGCTTATGTCCATGAACACACGTGAGTGAATGAGTTCAGTTTTACGCCGCACTCAGCAATATTCAAGCTATACGGCGGCCGGCGGCGGTCTGTAAATAATCGAGTCTGGACC